TTGGGGGTAGTATCCCTAAACCCTATGAAATTCCTGTAGGTATAACATTGTATAATGACTACGTAACCCCCACATATCCCTAACCCTGGGCAGCACCCACGGCGTTGAGCAGATTTCTGCCTAGGCGACGTCAGCTTCGTGATGCAGGCCTGAAAATGCACGCCTTTGGCCAGCGCCTCATGCATTTAAGGAACTTGATTTAACTTATTGTAATGGGGGGAACCATATTAGTCACTACATATACCCGTTATGGTAACTTGATTTAAGTACTTGCCTCATGTTTCGGCTTGTGACCTTTCCAGACGCAGTATCCATTATCTACAGCAGTTTCAACCTGTGCCGGTCTGCAAAGCGCTGTCTCAACTCTGCGTGCAGCTCACCTGCGATCCCAAATCCCAAAGTCTCATTGAAAGCGCACACTGCCAGAGCCAGCCGGGTTGAAGCCCAGAGACTGAAACTCAAGCGGTCTAAACCTCTGTACCTGATTCCGAGACCCCTCCGCTTTCCGTGGGACCTCGCAACTTCGACGCCTCCGCGCGGTGGCTGAGGCTCGCGAGACCTCAAGGGATGGACCCGGGGTTCTTCAAAGGGCGCCTGCTCGAGGTTTCAAGCGATATGCTAGCTTGTGATGCGTATCAATGAAGCCCGAATTCAGATAACACGCATGATCTTGTGGTGACAGGCCTGACCGGTGCTTCAATCAAACAGGAACATGGTTTGCTTGCTCATGGGGCCAGCAGTCACCCCAAGAAAGTAGAAGTTGGTGCTGATGCTCATCATGCGCCATACCATGCTAGTTTCAATAATTTGTCCTGTCTTTCAGCTTGTATCTACTGTTAGTCATGTATAATGCTAGTGATACCTGACTTGGCGTGTTAGCTCGCAGGTCGTGGCTCCGTCTTGTCCAGAGGTGCAAAGGGATGGTGCCTCACGGGGGTCTAGCCTCAGTGCATCTAGGACCTAGAGCATGGCATCCACAAGCAGCCCTACAAGCTTTGCATTACAATTGCGGCTTCACAGATAGTTCACGTAATCTCCAAGATATCTACTTCCAGGAGCTACTTTGATGATGCCATACTTGAGAGCTGTGTGTCATTGCATGCCCCAGGGCACGTTCATGAAGTCTGGCTGAACAACCTTCCCTTGCTGCTTCTTGGGCCTTGAACTTTCGTGATGCATGTATACCGGGGAGAAGACACATCAACGGAGCTGACAAGAGCTACATCCGTAGTCTACAGGTACCGGAGGACAAGACTATCGACAAGTAGAGCATGCCTTCCGATATACTACAACCTACTTAACATGAGTATTATGCAAGCTCCTTCCCAAGAATGACAGGACCTCATGAACCCCTATATAACCCTATATGAATCCCTATACAACTCCATATGACCCTACATAATCCCTATATAAGCC